TAGAGCGGACACTCTGCTCTAGTCGCGCTCATGATACTCTACCTCATACTTTGACTACGGCTCGGGCTAGAGCGGACACTCTGCTCTAGTCTCATCTCAAGATACTGTCGCCGTTCCTACGACTTCGACTACGGCTAGAGCGGACACTCTGCTCTAGTCGCGCCTCATGATACTCTACCTGATATCTCGACTACGGCTCGGGCTAGAGCGGACACTCTGCTCTAGTCTCACCTCAAGATACTGTCGCCGTTACTTCTACTTCGACTACGGCTAGAGCGGACACTCTGCTCTAGTCGCGCCTCATGATACTCTACCTCATACTTTGACTACGGCTCGGGCTAGAGCGGACACTCTGCTCTAGTCTCACCTCAAGATACTGTCGCCGTTACTTCTACTTCGACTACGGCTAGAGCGGACACTCTGCTCTAGTCTCATCTCAAGATACTGTCGCCGTTACTACGACTTCGACTACGGCTAGAGCGGACACTCTGCTCTAGTCTCATCTCAAGATACTGTTGCCGTTCCTACGACTTCGACTGCGGCTAGAGCGGACACTCTGCTCTAGTCTGATCTCAAGATACTGTCGCCGTTACTACGACTTCGACTACGGCTAGAGCGGACACTCTGCTCTAGTCTCATCTCAAGATACTGTCGCCGTTCCTACGACTTCGACTACGGCTAGAGCGGACACTCTGCTCTAGTCGCGCCTCATGATACTCTACCTCATACTTTGACTACGGCTCGGGCTAGAGCGGACACTCTGCTCTAGTCTCACCTCAAGATACTGTCGCCGTTACTTCTACTTCGACTACGGCTAGAGCGGACACTGCTCTAGTCGCGCCTCATGATACTCTACCTGATATCTCGACTATAGCGCGAGCTAGAGCGGACTAGCGTGAATGTCCGTCGAGCGATTGAAGACGAACGATACCGCCCCTAGTGGCTGACGCGTTGGCCACAGAGGACACTCAAAAGCAGCACGAAGTTCGGCGACGTAGTCGTCATAGTGGCGAGAGACGCTTGAGCATGCGGCATTCAACAATGCGTGGCGAGCGTGTGCCACAGATGCGATCTGAAACGCTGTGGCCACACGAAAGCGAATAAAAGAGGGGAGGGTTGGTGGTGTTTCTCTGTTGTTCCACAGTCGACTCATCCCATTGGGAAGCAGCGAACTTGAACGCGATTTGCGCCACATCTTTCCCCGGGCATTGGTCCCGAACATTCGTTCAAGACGCCGATGTCATCATCGCGTTCGGGGCACGATTAGAAGACGAAGGCGACAACAGGAGCGCAGAGGTGGTTATCAGGGATGAATTCGCGACGGTGAGTAACAAGTTGTATGTGAAGTTGAAACTGCCTTATGGATAATAGCAGAGGAGGGACGGAAATGTAGAACATGACAGCGAAGTTTCTCGGGCCGTGTTACGCGTTGAGAACGGTATACGGGCCATTTTTTCAGGCAGCGTCGCCCTGCTGCGATGAAAGCCTCGGGGATCTTCGCGGATCGGGTAGAGGTCACGACAACACATGAGGGGCGGGCTAGAGAGGTGTTGATACGGATGGCGGAACTGATGGATGAGGCACGACGAAGCCTTCCGGTGCGTTATTTACTAACTGACGGAGGGTAAAGCTGAAAGGATGCGGTGATAGGAATATTATGTGTTCACCATGACCACGGTGTTGGGAAACGACTAGCAAGATTTGCGGTGCTCATGTGGGGTGTTTGTAGTGACAGATTCTCGCTTTTTGTATACGGCTCGGGAATGTGATGAAATGTGGAATACTCAGTGTCTCAGACGATCTATGTAAGAAGTTTAACAAGTGGTGGTAAGGCGACGGAAGAAGGTCGGATCCTTTGGACATCAATACAGGGGCCGGCTTCAAATCGAGCGGTAGGTTATCCCCCGCATTCAAAGTGCGCGGGGGGCGGTTCCAAGCACGGTCGATGACTTATGACCCGGCTTCAAAAAAACAAGATTATATTGTGGCATACTTGGTTTCAAAATGTGTATATAGGCACTTATACCTACCTATAGAGATGTGTCGTATACTGAAAGGGGGGGCGGGGGCGCATTCAAACCTCGGAGTGGCTCTGAGGGTGGATTCAAACGGGAGGGCTGTCTCGCAGCAAAGATTTCACCCAATTTGGTATACAAGCACAGCTTTGGCGTATTTTGAAGCCGGGGGTGGTTTCAAAATATACGAGGGATAGGGATAGGACCCTGGCGTGTTTGGTGGATACTGAAAGGGACTTGTAATGGCTGGAATAGGGGAGTACAACAAGCGTCGGTTCAGTCGGTTGAATTCTGACTGAGTTATCACTTGAGCACATTTAACTCCAAGTCAAAATCCGTAGAAAGTGAACGGAGGACCCTGGCATGTTCAGTGGATACTGCAAGGGACTCGTAATGGCTGGAATAGGGGAGTACAACAAGCGTCGGTTCAGTCGGTTGAATTCTGACTGAGTTATCACTTGAGCACATTTAATTCCGAGTCGAAATTCAAAGGTGGACTCTGACGTATTTAGCAGATACTGGGATCGTCCTCTGACTACTGAAATCATGGAGGGAGAGAATTCTGAGTACTCACACTGCACACTTGGACTATGTAAGTATACAGGCAATCTACTGGACTAATGATTTTGCCCTAGCATCTTTGGGTCATGCTGTCCTGCCCACCATAAAACCAACTCAAGTCCATTGTAGAATCGACCAGGTGTCTCTCCTGCCATTACCCATCTTGCAAAGTTGATGTACAGTTG